TTTATATGATAAAAATTAATAATATAGTTATATTTTTTATTAATATAATCTTAAAATCATTTAATTATATAATTATTAATATATATTATAAAGTTTATTATTCTCCCATTCCTCTGCTGTTCTTTTCTTCTTCTCTTTTTTCTTTTTTTTTTTACTTTTGGGTTCACGCAAACGGAACCCAACTCTTGGGTTCGTCTCGAACCTAGGCATTGGGTTCCGCGACGAACCTAGGGGAGGGGTTTGCAACGAATCCACGCGTGGTTTGTCTCAGAACCCAGGCGCTGGGTTCGCCTTGGAACCCAAGCGCGGGGTTTGTCGCGAACCCAGCTCCTGGGTTCATCTCCGAACGAAGATGAGGGGATTTTCGGTTTAGGGAGAAAGAAAATGAGGAAGAATACAGTAAATATTTTTGGTTTGTTTCTCTGATTGTTGGATGAGTATTTTTGATTTGTTTCTCTGATTGGATGAAGAAGAAGAAACAACTGTGCCTGGGCTGGTCAGTGTGATGTTATAAATTGTTCCTTTTATATAGTAGTTTTTTCGTAAATAAAAGGAAGTGTGAGGATAAAATGGAAAGAACATGTCAATTTCATTAAACATGAAGCGAGAAGCTCCCACGGAAGTAAGACATTGCAGCTTTCGAACTTTGCAAAGGAACGGCGAGAAGCTTAGCTTCTCAAAAACTACAAGTTTGGAAAGTTTGGGAAGCTGACCCGTTTGGTGCAATTTGTGCTTTTAGAGTTAAAAAGCTCTTCTCACGATCTGTACCAAACAAGCTCTTTTTTCACTGCAGTTGAAGCCTGAGCCTCTGAGGGTCCATCCATCCTCTTTCATCATATCGCGCACCACGTGGTAGGTTATACTTTGTGAATCATTGTTTGATTGGGTTGGGATACCGCGTCAAACTGTTACAACCGTGACTCAACCACTTCCTTTGGTTGAGAGAATATTTTAGTAGCATCTTTACCTACTGATATAGAGATAAATAGAGTATATGTAAAAATAGATGATGACTTTTTTGGTAAAAAAGCTTATATATGTGATTTAAAACTGTAAACTATAATCTTTTAATAACATAAATTGGGTACTATAATCTTTTTTTTTACAGAAAAAAATAGTTAAATTAAGTATTAGTATCTGTTATATAGTAAAAAGATTAAGCCTTAAAATTGAATGTATTCCACTTGTTATCTAATAAACAACGTAACCACTACTGACTCACATAGGCATTGCTAGCTACAATAATCTTTTTTTTTTTTTTATGTATGGCTACAATAATCTTTAAATAACAAACATTGGATGGATGGAAATTTATTAGTTATTTAAAAAATTTAATAATAATTTTTTAAAATATAAAAAATTCTAAATTTAAATTATGTAAGTTATAAGAAAAATGAGTTAAAAAATTTTAAAAAAATATTTTTGTTGATACTAAGTTAGATAAAAAAAATGTATGTGGCTCCGTAAGCTCTTATTTTTAAAAGTGATAACAATAACGATTTGTTGATGTGAGTAAAAGGAATTCAATTCTTTTTAAATAAATTTTTAAATTTAAATTTTATAAATGGAGAAATAAGTATTGAAAGAGTTTTTTCTAATAAGGTTTGGCGCGACTTGATTCTAAATTACTTAAAATCTAACATGATTACCAGATATCAAAATGTTAATAAAAAAAAAAAAAAAAGCAAAACGACTACTGAGCTGATTTGTCATTTCAATCAGACAAAAATGAGTGATTTTTCTCCTAGTCGGGATGATCTATAAATAAAGGATTTTAATAAATATATTTTTTATAATTAATTTTTTTTAAAAGTATAAATATTAACTTTGATTTAATCAATTAATCAATTAAAATTACCAACATGTCATGTTGTTAAAATATATGTCAATTTTAATAATTTTTAATATAAATTAATTATAAAAAATATACTTATTATACTTTTAATATGTATCTTTGAGATACATGTTAGATAAATCTATTAATAAATTAAAATACTTCGATGATTTGTCCGTTTGGTTTATGAGAAAATGATGGAAATTTTGATGATAATTAAATTTTGATGATAATTAAAACTGTCTAATTGGGATTTTGTTGTAATTATATTTAATTATTAATGATAATTAATTTATTAGTATTAATACATAATTAGTAAAAAACAAATTAAAATATTGTAAAAAAATTAGCAATATTGGTTTAATTGTGATTTAAAGGTCTTTTTGTATATATAAATAAATTTTTATGTCTAATCCAATATTATCTCATGACCAACCAAGCATATCATAAAATTATAATATATTTTATCATATCTAATCTAATCATGTTCTAACTTTTCCAATCAAATATAATCTTGTGTACCAAACATGCTCTATAAGATTAAAGTCTGAGACTTTTGAGTGAAACTTGTAATATTACACACAAAATAAGTAAATTAACAGCAAGACAGAGTAATTGAGGATTTGATAACACCATTTAATTTTGAACTTTGAATAGAATGTTGATTCTCCTTCGATTTGATTTAATTGCATCAATCTCTTCATCAATAAAAATTAAAATTGATTTACAGAGAGACTCCCCTTCCCAAACTCATCTCTACCAATTTATGATTCGGCAATTGAGACCGCTCCTCCATCTGAGACCGATTCTGCATCTGAGATCGATGTTGCATATGACTCTCCACCACAACAGCCGGCTGGGAAGTAGCTTTTTCTTTCAACAGAAACACGGAATGATACATCTTCGTAGGCATAGCCAGCATGTGGATTGTCAGCCTTGATAACCAAGTCGGCTTTCTCCTGCAGCTCCAATGCAAGTTCCAAGGTTACTTCAACTTCTCCCATTGAAGGCCGTTCATTTGGATTTATATATATACAATTGAGAGTGATCTCCACATATTCTACCAAACACACTGGTGCTATCTTCCCTTTCAGAAATGGATCGATTATCTTATGAACACAGCCGTTTTTGATGCATTCAATGATCCCGCTAGTCAAATAAATGAATTCCGTGTGTTCTGCGAAGGCGTCAAGCATCCTTCTACCACACAATACTTCTAACAGAAGCATACCTAGTGAGAACACATCAACTTTTTCACTTAATTCATGATCTTTGTAGAACATCTCTGCAGCCATATAGCCCAAGGTACCTCTTGCTGATGTCCTCATTTCTTCCCAAGCGTTGGTTTTAGGCTTTGAGAAGCTAGAGGGACCAATTAGGGATGATTCAAAATCTGAAAGCTTAGCATCCCAATTTTCGTTCAGAAGAATATTGTGAGGCTTGACGTCGCGGTGAACTATTGCATACTTTGCACCTGTGTGAAGGTAGTGTAATCCACGCGCTACCCCAATACATATCTCTAGTCTCCGCTTCCATGGGAGCGGATCAGCATTCCCAAAAACATGACCGTCCAGTGATCCATAGGTCAGATGTTCAAACACAAGGATCATCTCACGCTTCTCGTGACAAAACCCGAGGAGAGAGACAATATTCTGGTGGCGCAGCTGGCAGAGTAACTCTACCTCATTTCGGAATTCTTCAACTCCTATTCTCGATGATCTATGCAAACGTTTGACAGCGACAACCAAGGAGCCACCATCAATGTCGCCCTTGTATACTGTGCCAGAACCACCTTCACCGATTTTCAAATCATGATTAAAATTGTTGGTGGCAGCCTTGAGCTCTGCTAGTGAAAATTGACGATATTGTCCCTCTGAAAGTGCTGAAGGTTTTCTTCCTCTTTCTTTAACTAATGTTTTCTTGAGAAATTTGAAGAAATTTTGAAGAGACATTGAATTGTGGGTTTCTTTTTGATAAATGTAAGAGGAGGGAGGGCAATTCTGCATCGCATTTGTATTATGTCGGTCTTAATTTCCTTTTATTTCAAAGTTACTGAGTCTGAAATTACAACTTTTGTCTTTTTGAGTGCTTTTCCAAGCCCAACTGCTTCAACATACATGAAACATACAGGTAATTTCCAAGTAGGTAGGTCCTTGCTAGTTGCTTTCTTGTTGAAAAGTCAAGGAAATGGAAGTTGGTCGGAGGTTTGTATGTTTCTTCTCTTCTACCATTTGGTATGAAAGCAATTTTCAATGCACATACTACATGGGAATCCGTGTTGGGTCATCCCAATCCCTTTTATCCACCAACTACTGCTTTTATGTCAATGCTTGCCAGTTACTTAGAAGATGCCCTTACAGTCAAAGTAAAAACTAATGGCATTGATGTTGGAGGAAATATAATAAAACCTGAAAATGGAAGCACTCAAGTGCAGTTTGCTTTGTGAAAGATAGGTAATTGATGACTTACATTTCTCCTTCGGCGTTGTGAAATTCGCGGAGTTTTTGTTATTTTTGTGAAATTTTGAATGCTTCCTTATTAATTGCTCAGAAAATAAGAGGGTTTTGGCTATTTTGTTAGCTTGTACCTGTCTGTCTTCACTCAAGCAGCAAAGGCATATTTCATGGCTGATGCTGTGGTATCCTTTCTTGTGGAGAGGTTGGGTAACCTCCTGATCGAGGAAACCACACTCTTATGGGGTGTACGGGATCAGGTCCAACAAATGCAAGCCGAGCTAAAATGGATACAGTGATTTCTAAAAGATGCTGACAAGAGGCAAGATGAGGATGCCAGTGTTCAGAATATTGGGTTTCAGAGATAAGAGATGCTGCTTATGACATTGAGGATGGCATTGACATTTTTGTGCTTAAATTTGCACCTCGAAATGGAAGAAGAATCCATAATCCCATTACCAAAGGGATAGCACTTCACAACCTTGCTTCAAAAATTGACAAGATTAAATCTCAAATAATTGATCTCACCAGAAGCTTACAAACTTATGGAATAACTGCAAGAAAAGAACTAGCTTAGCATTTGAGAGGCAGAGGCAGCTCAGGTGGTCTTATTCCCATGTCGTTGAAGAGCATATTTTGGGTTTGATGAAGATATAAGGCAACTGATAACACAGCTGGTGAATGAAGAGAAATGCAGAGTTGTGTCTATCAGTGGTATAGGTGGTCTGGGAAAGACTACCATGGCAAAGGCTGTTTACCATCATGGTGATATAAGGAGACATTTTGAAGGGTTTGCTTGGGCATATGTGTTTCAGCAGTGCAAAAGAAGAGATGTTTGGGAGGGGATTTTGCTGAAACTTATCACTCCATCCAGGGAGGAGAGGGAGGAAATTTTAAGAATGAGAGATGATGATTTGGCAAAGAAGCTTTATAAAGTTCAAAAAGAAAAGAGGTGTTTGGTTGTGATCGATGATATTTGGAGCACTGAGGCATGGTCTACTCTTAGTGCTACTTTTCCAAATGAAACTGCTTCTGGTAGCAAAGTACTGCTTACAACACGCAACAAAAAAGTAGCTTTGATCGCTGACCGAGAGGGATTTGTTCATGAACCAAACTGTTTGAATGAAGAAAAGAGTTGGGAGTTATTCCAAAGGAAGGCATTTCCAAGGAGAGGCGATTCAGGTAGACAATCATATAACATGCTCTTCAATCTCCAGATCTAATTTTGTTACTTTTTCTGACTACGTAAACCGGAATAAGCAAACTACTTTAATCTAATCTTACACTTAGGCCATTGGTTGGAATTGGATGCGCTATTAATTCAATATTAGGAATGTTAAGTACATGTCTGTGACAATTAAAATTAAGTTTCTGTGTTGTTGGCATGTTTTATGTAGATACATGTTTTAACTTTTATGAATCTGGTGATGTCAATCTCATTGTCATATTGGATGAAATAAACTTCTATTGGTTGTTTCCCTTCTTGAAGCATGCATGCTAAGGGAATTAATGATTATTGGTGGAAAATATGATGCTCTATGTTTTGGGTTTATGTGCATGAAATAAATTTTTAAAAATTTCCTTTTTTCTTCTTGTAGAGCTCTCAAAATGAATGAAGATAAGGAGAAGCGAGGGAGGGAAATGGTTGGAAGCTGAGCTGGTTTACCTTTGGCGATTGTTTTGCTCGGAGGGCTTTTGGCAACAAACGAAACATTGATTGAGTGGGACATGGTGAACAGAAATACCAGATCATA